TTATTCCTTAACTGCTGAGCTGATGGGGAAGCCCAATTTCTATTTTACTTGGTAGGAAAGAAGAACAGGTATGTTTTTGGGAAGATAAATCGGTAGCAGTGTTGGGGCGATAGGTGGAAAACGTGGAGAGGGAAGATACAGTAGATAATCATTAGGTTCCTGGGATACAAGCAGTGATTGATAAATTTTAATGATGACCTGATCTTGAAAGATTAGGCAGTTTAAGTAAATGGTGACATGAGTCATTTATTTTCATTTTATATTTTAACATATAGTAACAGATGGTAAAAGATACCTCAGTTTATGAGGTTAGTTTAGAAAAAAAAAGTGCAGTACCAGTGCAAATTTGATACCATTTTTTTCCTTGTAAAATCATGAATAATTTTTTCCAGAAGTTTAGAGAAGTAAGATAACATAATCTCGTGAAAAATGAAATGAAACTGAGTTCTTGACGACGTCTTTCTCATTTTTTCTCCATTACCTTTTAGTTAGTAAGCTCACCAACTTTTGGCAGTTAACATGCCACCCCAACGTTCATTTCTTTATCTGTGAGGAGGGAGACAGGATGTTTAAAACTGCCAGAGAAATTCTAAAATGCCATATAGAAGCTAGCTCTGATTAAAAGCAGTCCTGATATCCAGAAGTTATACTTTCTGTTTGGAGCGACCTTATTCTAAAGCCTATTTCTTTATTGTTATACGACACAATTTTATGCAGGCTTTAAATTTTAATTTTAAAATTAGTTTTAAAATTGGAGGTTAAGTAGTAACAGGACACCTATATTTTTAAATTTGTTTTAAATTTGGTGCAGAAGAGAAGCTCTGCTGTGGTTTGTTCATTTGTTTGTTTGTTTTTATGGCCACACCACAGGACTTGCAGGATCTTAGTTCCCTGACCAGAGATTGAGCCAAGCAGTGAAACCCTGGAATTTGTAACTGCTTGGCAACTAGGAAACTCCCTTTGTTGCATATTTTTAAAACCATAGAAACAACTAGAAGAATCTTTTACAAGCTACGGGTAAATATGTGATGTTTTACAATTTGAAAATTATTAAATTTCCAATCCTCAAGAGTTTTGTTTTATAATTAGCTACAAACTACCACTTGTAAAATAATGTAGTGTGTTCTTATAGACACCGAACATTAGGTTTTTCAGTACCTGGCTTCACTGGTATCTCATCTGGTAAAGAACCTACCTGCAGCAGTGTAGGAGAGCTCAGTTCGAGCTGAGTTGGGAAGAGCCATGGAGAAGGGATAGGCACCCACTCCAGTATTCTTGGGCTTCCCTAGTGGCTCAGACAGTAGAGTCTGCCTACAGTGTGGGAAACTTGGCTTTGATCCCTGGGTTGGGAAGATCCCCTGGAGAAGAGAACAGCTACACATTTCAGTATTCTGGCCTTAATAATTCCATGGACTCTAGATCATGGAGTCGCAAAGAGTTGGACACAATTGAGTGACTTTAACTTGCGCTTAGAATCAATTTTTTCAGATTTACCCAAAGAGGCCAGCTTCATCTGGCCTCTTTAAGGTTCTTAGTGGTTGGTTTTCCAAAAAATTACCGATTTATTCTGGACTCTCCTATCTGATTTGCTGAGATCTTCATCCTCTAATGCTATCTTAGTTTGACACCCCCAAGTCACTTTAAGGGAAATAATCTTAATTAGGTCTGATATATCATAGTAGTTTGACATATAGTCATGCAAAAATATTCAGGTTTGAAAAGGAAAGGGTATGTACACATCAGACCCAGAGTTAAGGACACTATGCTTGCTTGTCCTCACAAGCTGTATTTATTAAACAATAAATTTATCATCAAGACATTTTAGATAAACTCACAGTTTAGGGAAGGAGGAGTGGGTGTGTATGTGTATTTATTAATAATTGCCAAGAGTTTAACAAGGTGGGCTTTCTGAATCTTGGTATCATTAACTTCTCTGTCTACCAACTTACTCTTTCTCAGTCCAAGTTCTTATCCGAGTCTACCAGTCTGTTACTTTTAAACTTGGGTCCTTGCCTCCTCTTGTGTATATGTGCTTGATCTTTGTTTCTAGTCTCTCTTTCCTTCCAAGATCCTGATTTAGCAGTTCACTGTCTTCTAATTCCAGAACCTCATTTTCTTTATTATCCACAGACTTCGAACATGCTTAAATATTTTATTATCAGTAATCACCTTGATTCTGTAATCCGTTTGGATTACTGCCCCTTAGTCCTCCTTTTGTAAACTAAACATAAAAGAAATTTGTGTCTTACACCAGATTCTCAACCTGCTTCAGTCTGACCCTCAAAGCATTCACTAAAACACTTTTCATCAGGAACATCAGTGACCTCTGAGTTACTGTAAGCCAATGCAGGTGATCATTCTTGACATTGTTGGGGTGTTGTGTTATTGTATGGGTTATAGAAGGATTTACACTTGTGCAAGATTTCAGAATGTTGTTTGCAAGCAGTTTTATGAAGTAAGTTCTTAGGGAAGGTGATAGTGTTTATTTGTAGTAAGAAAGAAACTAAAATGTCCTTTTTTCATGAGTGTAATACCAAATTGGAGGTGGGTGACGAAGGGGACGACAGAGGATGAGATGGCTGATGGCATCACCGACTCGATGGACGTGAGTTTGAGCAAAGTCTGGGAGTTGGTGATGGACAGGGAGGCATGGCATACTCCGATTGATGGGGTTGCGAAGAGTCGGATACGACTGAGTGACTGAACTGAACTGAATACCAAATTTTATCTGAATGTTCTACATAAGAATATTCTCTATTTCTTTGTAATAACTTGTTTAAACCGAGGTTTTTTTTTTATCTTTTAAAGGAAATGATGGGGAATTTGGAGAAGTATTTAAAAGATAGCAAACTCTATAAACTTTCTGAACCATTGTTAAGAATTTTAGGCATAAAAAATTACATAGTACCATCACCACATCCTTAGGTTAGTTGTACTTGAGTCATAAACATATTCAACTGATCAGTTTTCATGGAAGCCATCTTTGGTTAACTATACTGATTATTGGCTTATCCAGAAAGTCACCTTAAATATCAGAGAAAATATTCTTAAAATACTGAAAGTTGAAGAATGTTAGTTGGGAGTCAAATGGGTCAGGTTTTGTATTCTGGCTTAGGGTTTCCCAGATGGTGCTAGTGGTAAAGAATGCTCCTGCCATTGCAGGAGACATGAGATTTGGGTTCAATCTCTGGGTCAGGAAGATCCCCTGAAGGAGGACATGGCAACCCATTCCACTGTTCTTGCCTGGAGAATCCCATAGACAGAGAAGCCTGATGGGATTCATGGGAGTTGGACATGACTGAGGACACATGCTTTGTTTAGATCATTAGCTGTGTGACCTCAGATAAATCATTCAACTTGCATAAACATCTTTCCTCTCCTTTAAAATTTTGACAGTACTTTAAAATCTCCCTGCTAAGTATTCAGTGATTGGATAGGTAATCACTTAATAAATGGTAGTTATGTTACTAGCATTATCACCTACTTTTTCTGGGCTTTGGTTCTGCTTCTCTGTGCAGCTCTGCAAGATAGATGAGTTAGTGGCCAAAGCAGAGTGGACACTCCTTTAGTCTTTGCTTAATGCACACATTGATGATGAATTGAATTACACTGGCTTGGTTTTTAACAGTGTTCACCAAAGTTACTTTTGTGCCACAGATAGCAATGCAGGAAAGGTTACATGATTTGGGAATTATATTTTTCATATTATTTTTATCCAGAATCTGTTTCTCTGAGAGAAATTAAGTTTCCAAACCTTAAGCATAATGCTGCCACTTATTTTTTTTCTTCTGTTACTAAGTTTAAAATATAAAATGCTTGTTCTTTATTTTCAAGTCTCTACTATTGGAAATCATGTGAGTGTCAGTTGATAGGAAAGAGTTGTTGGTCTTTTTTGCAAACCTGACACCACCTTTAGGATTTATAAGAGTATGTTGAAGTATGGATTTACTGAATTTGCAAGCAGTGACCCAGACTTAACCACTTTTTACAAGACTCAAGTATGTGTGTTTGTGTGTATTATATGCATGTACATACCATGTCTGTATGTGAGAGTTGGACTGTGAAGAAAGCTGAACGCCGAAAAATTGATTCTTTTGAACTGTGGTGTTGGAGAAGACTCTTGAGGGCCTCTTGGACTGCAAGTAGATCCAACAAGTCCATCCTGAAGGAGCTAAGTCCTGGGTGTTCATTGGAAGGACTGATGTTGAAGCTGAAACTCCAATACTTTGGCCACCTCATGTGAAAAGTTGACTCATTGGAAAAGACCCTGATGCTGGGAGGGATTGGGGGCAGGAGGAGAAGGGGATGACAGAGGATGAGATGGCTGGATGGCATCACCGACTGGATGGGCATGAGTTTGAGTAGACTCTGGGGGTTTGTGATGGACAGGGAGACCTGGTGTGCTGCAATTCATGGGGTCGCAAAGAGTCAGACACGACTGAGCAACTGAACTGACTGACTGACTGACCATGTCTGTGAGTGTGTAGTTTTACATGAAACAGTTTGATGGTTATACTAACCAGTGCAAAATGCTTTTTTGAAAATCATATTCTGATTTTTTAAAAAAAATATGTAATTCTAATACAGATAAAATCAAACAGTATTCAGGAGTAGTAAATATGAGGTAACACCAATAAAAACCTTTATATTAAGGCTGTTACTTGCTGGATTTGCTAGTAGGACATTTTCCACAAGATCTTTGAGATTATAAAATGCTTTTATCTTACTGATATGTGTATCCAAAGGTAAAAAATATTATTATTTTACTTTGGTTAGTTTCCTCAATTACCAGCATTTTACTTTTAAGTATTTTACCTTCATAGCTTGCAGAATTTTTCAAAATTTTAGGACTTTTGAGATTTATTCATTGAATCATGTACTTTCTAGGTAAAATCACTGAGTTTTACATGAATCAACGTAGAGATTATATTTGGAAAAAAAGATTTTTTGAAAATGGCATTAAGTTTCTGCTGTTAATATGTTATGTCCTACCTTTTTAGTGGATGATGATGGCAAAATGGAACAGGACTGTTCTGCTGGTGTGACCATAGACGCAGAGTCAGAAATTGATCCTTGTAAGGTGGATGGCACTTGCCCTGAAGTCATCAAGGTGTATATTTTTAAAGCTGACCCTGGAGAGGATGACTTAGGTAAGGAGAAACCTTTAGCATGTCATGTGTGCTTTGTGTTTGCTTGTATCTAGCTCTCTGTTCGGGGGATTCTCTAGGCAAGAGTACTGGAGTTGGTTGCCATTTCCTTCTCCAGGTGATCTTCCCAACCCAGGGATCGAACCCGCATCTCCTGCCTCTCCTGCAGTGGCAGAGAGATTCTTTTCCTCTGCTGCACATGGGAAGATCCCGATCAAACACTTTAATTACTTTTAGGTGTTTTAGACTGAAAATACTTGTAATTGTTTCTGAAGATAACTTTTAAAACAGGTTTTTATTGTATTAATACAAAGGTATTTAAAGAGCTAATTACTAACTGAGATGAAACAGGAGGAAATGAAGTTTTCACATAAATACTTGGAGTTGTCGTCTTCCCTGTTAGGTGGGACTGTTGACATTGTGGAGAGTGAACCTGAGAATGATCATGGAGTTGAAATCCTTGATCAAAATAACAGTATTCGTGTGCCAAGGGAAAAGATGGTTTATATGACTGTCAGTGACTCTCAACAAGAAGATGAAGATTTAAGTAAGTAGGTGGCCTTTTTGTGGGAGAGCGTTTTATATTTCTGTGTGCTTTAAATTTTTAAAAATGTACCACTATTTGAAGAAAAAAGTACTGTGGCAAACATTATTGTACTTCCATAGTGCAAAAAAAAATCAGTGATTCTTGGTGTTTACTCAAGATACCATTTTATGAACAAATTACGGTGAAAACCAAGAAAATGATTCATTAAATAAATGATTATAGTGTGTTTACTCTGTGAAGGTAATATTCTTGGTATGTAACATTTGAACTTTCTGTTTATTAACAATTCAAATAAATATATTTTTCCTGTCTGATCTGTAAACTTGGTCACAAAAGTGGTTCTGTTAATTTTGTATTCAGATGTTGCTGAAATTGCAGATGAAGTTTATATGGAAGTGATTGTAGGAGAGGAAGATGCTGTTGCTGCAGCAGCTGCTGCCACTGTGCATGAACAGGAAATGGATGACAGTGAAATGAAAACCTTCATGCCAATAGCGTGGGCAGCAGCTTATGGTAAGCCACATTGCAGCTTTAGGATTGTATGGTTCTTGAGTATGATTTTAAAATTAAAAAAGGTTTTGTTGTCTTAGGTTTCAGAAATATGAATACTAATGAACTGATTTAAGTAAAAACTGAGAAAAATGATATAGTCTATCATTTGTCTTTAGGAGGAACTGTCTCTATGCTTATGTTATTTAAGTAGTATGAAGACTTCAGGGGGCATCCCAGGTGTCTTGGTGGTAAAGAATCCATCTGCCAGTGAAGACCTGGGTTTGATCCTTTGGTTGGGAAGATACCCTGGAGGAGGGCATGGCTACCCACTCCAGTGTTCTTGTCTGGGAAGTCCCATGGACAGTGGAACCTGGCGGGCTACAGTCTGTGGGATCACAAAGACAGCTGAGCACACATGCACGTAGATTTTCAAGCTCAAACGTTTTCATCTTTAGTATGTTACTTGTTTGAGTGAGAATGAGAGTTAATAGAGGAAAATGATGCTATATTTGGAAGCTAGGCATTTCCTTTCATCTTATATAAATATGTCCAATGTTTATACCTATATAGGGAATTACTCATTCATGAGTATCATGGCTTTACATTGTTGTCATTAATAAAGAGTCCCTAATTCTTTATAATACTGTATAATTTTGTTTTTTAATGCACACTGTTAGGTAATAATTCTGATGGAATTGAAAATCGGAATGGCACTGCAAGTGCTCTCTTGCACATAGATGAGTCTGCTGGACTTGGCAGACTGGCTAAACAAAAACCAAAGAAAAGGAGAAGACCTGATTCCAGGCAGTACCAAACAGGTGAGGGCACACGAGTTCCACAGCTCAGCATGCTTTGCGAGCTCTCAGAGGAAATTCCAGTATATATTCCATAAAGGCATTTAGTTGTTGATGGCATTTTAGTTGTTAGAATACATGCAATTTTTGTGTACTGAATTTGAAAATAACAGTTTTTAAGAATTAAGTGATATTCATGAATGATTTCCTTTCATAAAAAGAAACAGTTTTGAATCACAGTGTACTTCAGGAAAAATAGTGAAAACTATCAGGCTACTTTATTGGAAATGCAAGTTAATCACTAAAATGTTATGTTAGTTAAGTTTGAATGAAAAAATTTAAAGTCATTTTGTGTCAGCATGAAGCAAGCACATTCATAGAGGAGCAGGACAAATTCTACAGTTGTTAATTGAACATTTGTCTTTTCTGTATAGCTTGTCTAGTGATTTGCCCATTAGAATTTTTTATGGCTATGACTGTAGTTTACTGTCAGTTCATACAAACTTGATAACTGACATAAAACCAAAGTGGTTGAGCTTTATGAATGTTTTCCCTATGTATCTAAGCAAATATGGCTTTCAGTTTTTGCTGCTTCATATATTTTAATTGGTTTTTTATTTTAATTATATTTTAATTGGTATAGTCATTATGAGTTTTCTGGACCAAATTCACTTTATCACTATGATAACTATGGTTTTTTGTTGAAAAGTGTAATATATAAGACAGAGTACTTGTAAATGTGTTCAGAACTCTGTATGCTTGAGGAGATGACAACTGAACTTCATTTGATCACTCACATTCCTTTCTTTTCCTTTCTTAGCAATAATTATTGGTCCTGATGGACATCCCTTGACTGTCTATCCTTGTATGATCTGTGGAAAAAAATTTAAGTCGAGAGGTTTTTTGAAAAGGCACATGAAAAACCATCCTGAACACCTTACCAAAAAGAAGTACCGCTGTACTGATTGTGATTACACTACCAATAAGAAGATAAGTTTACACAATCACCTGGAGAGCCACAAGCTTACCAGCAAGGCAGAGAAGGCCATCGAATGTGATGAGTGTGGGAAGCATTTCTCCCATGCTGGGGCTTTGTTCACTCACAAAATGGTGCATAAGGAAAAAGGAGCCAACAAAATGCATAAATGTAAATTCTGTGAGTATGAGACAGCTGAACAAGGGTTATTAAACCGCCACCTTTTGGCAGTCCACAGCAAGAACTTTCCTCATATATGTGTAGAGTGTGGTAAAGGTTTTCGTCACCCATCAGAGCTCAAAAAGCACATGCGAATCCATACTGGAGAGAAGCCGTACCAATGCCAGTACTGTGAATATAGGTCTGCAGACTCTTCTAATTTGAAGACCCATGTGAAAACTAAGCATAGTAAAGAAATGTCTTTCAATTGTGACATTTGTCTTCTGACTTTCTCAGATACCAAAGAGGTTCAGCAACATGCTCTTATCCACCAGGAAAGCAAAACACACCAGTGCTTGCATTGTGACCACAAGAGTTCAAACTCTAGCGATTTGAAACGTCACATAATTTCAGTTCACACAAAGGACTACCCCCATAAGTGTGACATGTGTGATAAAGGCTTTCACAGGCCATCAGAACTCAAGAAGCACGTGGCTGCCCACAAGGGTAAAAAAATGCACCAGTGTAGACATTGTGACTTTAAGATTGCAGATCCATTTGTTCTAAGTCGCCATATTCTCTCAGTTCACACTAAAGATCTTCCATTTAGGTGTAAGAGATGCAAAAAGGGATTTAGGCAACAGAATGACCTTAAAAAGCATATGAAGACACACAGTGGCAGGAAAGTGTATCAGTGTGAGTACTGTGAATATAGCACTACAGATGCCTCAGGCTTTAAACGGCATGTTATTTCCATTCATACGAAAGACTATCCTCACCGTTGTGAGTACTGCAAGAAAGGGTTCCGAAGACCTTCAGAAAAGAACCAGCACATAACGCGACATCATAAAGAAGTTGGCCTGCCCTAACAGTAACACATCTACAGACTTTGTAGAGATATTGGCCTTGAAGCAGAAATTTCATTTTAAAGCTATTCAGTCTTGTTCACATACAGTACTGTACATTGATTTATACTGTGTACAGGTAGGATTATTTCTTGTTAACTTTGCATTTTACTCAGTAGAGTATTCTGCATCCTGTTCAGTTTAAATGAGGAAAAGTAACAACCAAAATTTTGTTTTTAATAATTTCTGAGTCTATATTGAATGTTTCAGTCTTTGAAGTTTTACTGCTTTAAGTGTTTATTCACCTGTATGGTACTCTTCTAAGACCACATGAAAGATTAAAAAAAAACCCATAGTATTGGTAACTCTAAAAGTAATCATTTTCTCATTTTTCCCGCACAAATTTTTAGCATTAAATAGAAACATCTCCTAATGTCAATGAGAGATTTTACTGTCAGGTCTAAGTTAAACATGAAAGTCATTTCCTTGTCTGGCTGAACATTTTCAGGTCACATGACCATGAAACTTCCCACTTGAGACTCTACCCGCTGAATATAAAATATTGACTAGGTTTGTGTTTAATTTTCATCCTGTTTAACAGAAAAAGCGTGCTTTGTTTTATCCTCTTTGTAGTGTTGTGGTTTTTTTTGCCACCATAGCATGCTTTTAGAATGTGATATTGAAAGGTTTTTCTTTTTCCTGTTTTTTACTCTTTTGTCTATACTCCTTGTTTTGGGATAGTTGTGTTCTGCAGATGAGATTTATTGTGAACTAAGTTGAAATTTTTTTAGAGATGTATGTGGCTCATAGATTGCACAGCTGGATGTGTAAGGTACCCCAAATTTTATGTGTACCTTTTTGTTGCTTATTTTATGTACGTCAGCACCCAGTCCAAAATTTTAAGTCTATAATGGGAAGAATTAAAGGTACTGTAACCTGGAAGATCCAGGTATATGAAAGAGCATTTTCCCCAGCTTGTAATTCAGAGGTTAAAATTTAGCTGAAAAATTGGGGGGGAAAAATGACACTAGTGTATTTATAAAAAGTTATGGTAACAGTCTTTGGTAATTGGAAAAGAAAAGTCGTTTCTAGATAGAATGCTTACATAACAACTTAATCTTTATACCTTAAAAAAATTTCTGAAAAGCTAATGGAGTATCAAGACATTGGCTCTCAGTTCTGATTGAGAAACTTTTAAAGACACTGTCATCTCAGAGAATAAGATGATAGAGTAACAAAGGAGTAGCTCTATATAGTGAAGACTACTGCAAACTAAAGTTGACAAGTTAAATGTTGACATTTTAACGTATAAGATGAATTCAAACAATTACAATTTGGTTATGTTAATACAAATTTTATACCACAGTTAAACACTTTTTAGTGTTTTAGTTAAATTAGCTACTGGCATATATGTACTGGCACATGGGGGGAGATTAGAAATTTTTCTTCTCTTAGGATAGGTACCTTACAACTTCATTATATGGTGCTTTCTTCTACTTCTGCTGTAAAAGTTTCATCTTTTTTGCCTTTCTCTGTGCCATTAATATTCTTGTTCAGAAGTTTTATTAATAGGGTTAGAAATCAAAGTATTTGGGTTTATTGACAGCCACTCAAGGCTAGGTTAATTAATTCTCATTCTAAGTCAAGTGCTTTAGGTACGTAGGAATTTAAACTTAGTGCCAGTCACAGGATGGATTTTGGAACCTCTGCCTTCTTGGCCTCCATGTATGTCCCCACCTGTTTTAGTATCCATCTGTTTTCCTGATCTGGAAAACTGTTTCTGTGTGTAAGAGTCTTCTAAATCCCCCTTGAATTTGTTAACCCCTACAGTAACAGAAAATGTTTAATGAAAGTTTACATTTATGAATTTTAGAACATTCTGTAAAATTAATACAGATAAATAGCTATTTATATTTTAAGGAATATACTGAAAGATAACACAGAACTTTACATATTTCACACATATTCTGGAGTCAAACAGTTGTTTCTAAGCACAATATTGAAACCTTCAAAAGGTGTTTAAAGATTTGGTCAAGTAAGTATGGTAAAATACTTGTCTTCATAAAGAAAAAATTAAATTGTACTTATTGTTATGTGCTAATATTAGCTGAAATTGTTTTAATCCTTAAAACAATTTGATTAGCAAAGCTAAAAAAAAAAAAATAGATGTTTCAGTTTAATATTTTAAAGAGGTACCAGTTTTTAGAAAACATAAGTTATTTGTTGAAATAACCTGTTAAATATTGTATGTTCTTCTGTACATTGTAAAATACTTAATAAGAAATTCATACAGAAAAATGTGACACTATTGTAAATGTGTACTTGAAAGTAACATGCAAAAATAAAAATCAGACTTATTTTCCTGATAATCAGTGTTTAGTTTGTTACCAGTACAAAGTAATACTTCTTTAAGAAAAAAAAAAAAACTTTTGTTAAATCTAATAAACATAAAACAGTGGATTGTTTTTTTTGCATTTTAAAATTCTCTGTATAGCAGTGGAATGTGTGCAAAATACTTAGTTGCCTTCCTTTTTTGACTTCGTTAGAAATGTTTCCTGTGACTTTGCAGGTAATACTTTACAGTAGTTGATGTTGAATCCTGTTAATTATCATGTCTTTGAAATTTTTTTTCTTTCATATTTGAAAAGATTTGTTTTTTCAGCATTTCCAAATTCTGGGGTCTCCCATGTATAAAATCATTGTTTTAGAGTTCATTTCAGTATGAAATCACAAGAATCAGTGGTGGTGATTACTATCTTCATAGCAAAGAGCCTGTCCTTGAGTTACTCTTTTGTGTCCAGTTTGGAGGTTTCTTATAAACACTGACAGAATGGGTTATTGTCGTGGTAAATTAGAAGCTAGACTCTAAATTATGAGGAATTGTCTTTATTCCATTCAGAATGCTGTTGTGGAATACCATAGAATGGGTAGCTCATGAACGACAGGTAAGTATTTCTCACAATAGCAGAGATGAGGAGTTCATGGTCAAGGTAGAGAATGATTGCTCCTTCTTCATAGACCACCATTTTCTGTTTATCTTCACATGGTGGTGGAGTGAGGGAGATATGAAGGGAGGGCTTATTTTCTCTTGTGAGGGCTATATCCTCATGATCAAATAGGGTCATATTAGGCCCCACCTACTAATACCATCACATTGGGATTAGCACATGAAAACAATAATTTTATGATGTCACAGTGAAGGGGAATTTTAAAAAATGATTGGGACATTCAGATTTTTATTGAGACAAAATTGACCCAATGTATGTCAGGTTTTTTTTTTTTTAATATTTTTATTTATTGATTTGGCTTTGCTGTCTCTTAGTTGGGGCACGTGAGATCTAGTTCCCTGCCCAAGGATCGAACCTGGGCCCCCTGCATTGGGAGTGCAGAGTCTTAGACACTGGACCACCGGGAATGTCCCTAAGTCACTTAAAGTGTACAGTTGGCCTTTAATTCATTAACAGTACTCTGCAACCATCACCTATTTCGTTTCAAAAGTCTTTGATTTTGCAGATAAGGATCTTGCAGTTCTTCCACCTTAGAGGAACATGTATTTGCCTGATAGCTCAAACTGTAAATAATTAAAATTTGAGTTAAAAATTATTGAAATGGTGAATGTTAACTTTGTCATAAGTCAGATGAGACCATGGCAACTGAATAACTTGTTTATAATACACTACTTCATAAATGGCCCTCCCAGGTGGCTCTGAGGTAAAGAATCCACCGGCCAGTGGAGAAAACTCGGGTTTGATCTTTGATCAGGTACATCACCTGGAAGAGGGCATGGCAACCCACTCCAGTATTCTTGCTTAGAGAATCACTTGAACAGGCCCTGGCTGGCTACAGTCTGGAGGTCCCTAGCTGTACAAAACGGAGCATGTGTGCAGACACACAGACACACTTTATAAATGACAGAAGATTACCCACTCCGGAGTTCTTTGGCTTCCCTAGTAGATTAGCTGGTAAAGAATCCAGCTGCAATGCAGGAGATCTGCACTGGATCCTTGGGAGAAAGGAATGGCTACCCACTGAAGTATTGTGGCCTGCAGAATTCCATGGACTGTGTAGTCCATGGGGTTGCAAAGAGTCAGATAAAACTGAGCCAGTTCTGCTTTTCAGATCCCTACTTCCCAGATAATTTGTAGCAGTATTATCTGGAATAGAAAAGTACAACCAGTCAGTCAATATCTTAAAGATAACGCTATTGCAGAGCTGTGACTATTGAACCGCCAGCCAAGATACCTTATCAGCATTACTCAGAGGCATGATGTATAATCAATAACTTGGTTCATTTCATTTGCTCTGTTGAGTCCGACACTTTGCAACCCCATGAATCACAGCATGCCAGGCCTCCCTGTCCATCACGAACTCCCAGAGTTGACTCAAACTCATGTTCATCAAGTTCGTGATGCCATCCAGCCATCTCATTCTCTGTCCCCGTCTCCTGCCTCCAATGCCTTCCGAGCATCAGGGTCTTTTCCAATGAGTCAGCTCTGCATGAGGTGGCCAAAGTATTGGAGTTTCAGCTAAAGCCTCAGTCCTCCCAATGAACACCCAGGACAGGACTGATCTCCTTTAGGATGGACTGGTTGGATCTTGAAGTCCAAGGGACTCTCAAGAGTCTTCTCCAACACCACAGTTCAAAAGCATCAATTCTTCAGTACTCAGCTTTCTTGACAGTCCAACTGTCACATGCAGAGATGACCACTGGAAAAACCATAGCCTTGACTAGACGGACCTTTGTTGGCAAAGTAATGTCTCTGCTTTTTAACATGCTGTCTAGGTTGGTCATAACTTTCTTTTCAAAGAGTAAGTGTCTTAATTTCGTGGCTGCAGTCACCATCTGCAGTGATTTTCTAGCCCAGAAAAATAAAGTCAGCCACTGTTTCCCCATCTGTTTCCCATGAAGTGATGGGACCAGATGCCATGATCTTAGTTTTCTGAAGGTTGAGCTTTAAGCCAACTTTTTCACTCTCCTTTTTCACTTTCATTAAGAGCCTTTTTAGTTCCTCTTCGCTTTCTGCCATAACAGTGGTGTCATCTGCATATGTGAGGTTATTGATATTTCTCCCAGCAATCTCGATTCCAGCTTGTGCTGCTTTGTCCCAAGGTTTCTCATCATGTACTCTACATATAAGTTAAATAAGCAGGGTGACAATATACAACCTTGACGTACTCCTTTTCCTATTTGAAACCAGTCTGTTCCATGTCCAGTTCTAACTGTTGCTTCCTGACCTGCATACAGGTTTCTCAAGAGGCAGGTCAGATGATCTGGTAATCCTGTCTCTTTCAGAATTTTCCACAGTTTATTGTGAGCCACACAGTCAAAGCCTTTTGGCATATTCAATAAGGCAGAAATATACTGTAATGGTCTTTATCTTTCTGGCTTACTTCGCTCTGTATAATGGGCTCCAGTTTCACCCATCTCATTAGAACTGATTCAAATGAATTCTTTTTAATGGCTGCGTAGATGTATAGGACAGACTTGTGGACTCTGTGGGAGAAGGCGAGGGTGGGGTGTTTCAAGAGAACAGCATCGAAACATGTATATCTAGGGTGAAACAGATCACCAGCCCAGGTTGGATGCATGAGACAAGTGCTCAGGCCTGGTGCACTGGGAAGACCCAGAGGGATGGGGTGGAGAGGGAGGTGGGAGGGGGGACCGGGATGGGGAATACATGTAAATCCATGGCTAATTCATTTCAATGTATGACAAAAACCACTG